ATAGTAAGGGTGCTAAACCATATCCGTTAGGATACGGATATGGTTACACAAATTTATAACCGATAGGATATGGTTACAGATATGGTTTTGTAGTGAAATATCCGTATCCGTATCTGAAATATCCGAATATATATTAATCATACTCTTACGATAGTTTTGACTCTTAGATTATGGATTTGTGGTTAATTTTGATGATCAATATGTCTAATCTTAACTTTTCAGTTATAATGAAGATATTAACGAACTCTTTTGTATCACATGAACTATATTTTTCTCAATACTATCTACTTTTCTAATATCTATTTTGTATCCGTATGCATATCCGCTTATATATCCGCATGTATATCCATAACCGTATCCGATTTTAGCGGATATGGTTATAAATTTTTCTTACCGAGATATATCCGTATCCAAGATGGGTAAGCGGATATGGATATGATAAGCATCATATCCGAGCCGTATCCAGACCGAATGCACCCCTACAGTCATTAGCATTTGTATAAACTAGCATTTCTATAAACATTCGTTGCACATGCTTGACATTTGGTTATTTGAAGCCCAGCCTAAAAATTATGGAAATAACTTGGCCCATAAAATAGGCCATTAGAAATTCAAACTCTAAACAGCCCAGTAACTATGTAAACCAAAGTCTAACTAGTAATTATATCCCCTATTGTTTCATTACTTTACACTTGTATACCCATATTTGTATTTAGTAGCAAAAAACACCCAAAGGTATTTTAAACTTGCACTTATATACCCTCAATTGTTTTTGGTAGCACTTATATATTCTAAAGTTGTTCAAATTTATATTTAAATACCCTAAAATTTGTAAATCTGGCATTTGATTAATACCCTAATGATACGAGTTGTCGTGCGAGCACCTTTGATCGCGGAATTATCAAAGGTAGGTTGAGGAGAAAACAATAAGAACACAAGAATAACTCAGGTTTTGGGCGAAGGAAAATACATTCTCTAGATTATGAGTATGCACTTTACAATCTCTCACAATCTCACTCTAGAATTGAAGAACAAGCTCTCCAAATCTCAATTACAATCTAATCTCTCTTGATTAAACTCTCTGATTGTTTTAAACCCTAAAACAATCCCTTATATAGGTGTACAAATGAGAGTGGCAAAGTGGTAAATAACCAAGCCCAACCCAAACAGGAAAACGCGTAAATAGAGTCCTTAATGAATCTGGAAAGCTCCGATGAGTTGACTCATGAACAGTTATGAGTCGACTCATGACCTCATATGAGTCGACTCATAACTGATGAGTCGACTGGTCAGAGACGTTTTGCTAACATGGCTTGGTTTCGTGAGTCGACTCATGACAGGCATGAGTCGACTCAACCTGATGAGTCGACTCATGTACATGTATGAGTCGACTCACAAGCTGAAATCCGGATTCTTCGAATCTGCTGCTCGTAGTCTCGTTCCACGCTTCCACCTGCGTTCTACTGTACTGTTTTACACCCCTATGCTCATGCTATCATGAGAATCATCTATCCTCAAGCTCCCATGAGGATCGCTAAGCTCCCGAAGAGAAGATACACCCGTATCATGGGTCCCCTCTTTAGGAACTTGAAGTGCCGTTCAAGTTAGAACTTTTGCTGAGGAAACTCTCGAGCTCCTCCATATTTTCTGCACCATCTGGCCCTGCTAGGAACCTGGTCTCAACGTCCGATCGGAAACATCTCATCCATCCCGCGTCTCGTCGTAATCACCTTTCGCCCCAAGTTGCAATCCTTTATCGATGGCTTTTCTGGAAGTCTAATGCACAACGAGACAAACTTCTTGCTTGCATTCACTAGTCTCTTCACTCGCGTCACCGTCCCCAAGCTTGCCTCCCTCGGAAGAGATGCCGAATGAAATATGAACTTTTCACCATCCTCAGTGAAGGTGTACTTCTGAACCCGCCTCTCGTAGATCGCATATCTATCCCATAAGTACGGATTGCCCAGTATAATCTGACAAACATCCAATAGAACGACATCGCATGTGACCTCGTAAATATATGACTCGTGGAGCGTAAATCTGACAGTGCATTGATCAACTACACTCAGTTTCTCCTCCTTCTGAATCCACCCCAATGGATATGGCTTCGGATGCTTGACCGTCTTCAGACCCAGCTTCTGAACCAATACCTCAGATATCAAATTCTTCTTGTTGCCCGAATCAACAATGATATCAACCAAACTGGTCTTCACTTGCAACTTAAGAACAAAGAATTGCTCTCTCGGGTCGTCGTCCTCTTTCGTGGTCTGCTTCCCCGCCATAAGGTTAAGACTGCTGTTGGGCTCTGTCATCCCCGGGACTTCTTTCGGACCTTGAGCTATCATGTATGCTTTTTCCTCCTCCTTCTTCTTCAACCCTCTTGGCTTGAGATAAGGATACTTCTCCCAGCACCGATCAGCTGTGTGCCTGTCTTCTCGCAGTGACTACAAATCAGCCCTGCCTTTCCTGGACCACCCTTCTTCTCCTCCTTAGATTGAGAACCACTAGACTCACCTCCCGTCTGTTTGGAGTCTCTCTTAGCCTCGTTGCCCTTCTTTTGCTTGCCCTCGAGGGCAATAGCCTTCACGCTCACCTTTGTAATTGATTCTACCGTGAATAGCTTTATCTCCTTTCGGATGTAATTGCTCAATCCCGCCATATACTTCATAAACACGGAATATTCCTCTGTCGTAATGTTGAGAACCATCGCCTACTGCTAAAACTCCGTGGTGTATTCTTGAATGGTTTGATTGACCATTTGGCACAAGCCGTACCACTTGTACCAACGCTCTTCAAAGAATCCCACCGGGTAGAACTGCTTCCTCAGTAACTCCTTGAACTTGTTCCACGACACTGCCTTCTTCTCCTGCTTGCAGTAGGATTTTCACTACGTCAACGCGTGTCCTGAAAGCTTCAAAGTCATGAACACAATCTTTTCTTTTGACGAATAGCCATAAAGAGTAAAATACGTCTCCATCCGCTCGATCCAGTTATCAAGCCTCTCGACGTCAACACTCCCATCATAAACAGGAATCTCCACCTTGAAGTCAATCTTCAGGTTCTGATAAGAATTCTTACCCCCTTGATGCAATACAGCCTTAATGGTCTCCTCCTCCTCGTCGGAATCTGAATCTACTCTCTCCACATCGGACTCAACAATTTTCTTCGAAGAAGATTCACCTTGTTTGCCACCTCCATGGATAAGACTGACGAGTTGTGTGAGAGTCAAACCTATCATCTCGATCTGCTTCTCCAATGCATCAATCCTCATGGAATTATCTCCTTCAGCCATCTTCTTCCTCCTTAAAACCTGGACTCCTTCCAATGAAATAAGGATCTCGCCAAGCTTCTTGTATTACGATCGAGTCAGAACCATACACAGGATGCCCTCTTCGCAGGATCTGCTCGCTCTGATATCAACTTGATACGAGTTGCCGTGCGAGCACATTTGATTGCAAAATTATCAAAGGTGGATTGAGGAGAAAACAATAAGAACACAAGAATAACTTAAGTTTTGAGCGAAGGAAAAGACCTTCTCTAGATTATGAGTATGCACTTTATAATCTCTCATAATCTCACTCTAGAATTGAAGAACAAGCTCTCCAAATCTCAGTTACAATCTAATTTCTCTTGATTAAACTCTCTGATTGTTTTAAACCCTAAAACAATCCCTTATATATGTGTACAAACGACGGTGGCAAAGTAGTAAATAACTAAGCCCAACCCAAACAGGAAAATGCGTAAATAGAGTCCTTAATGAATCTGGAAAGCTCCGATGAGTCGACTCATGAACAGTTATGAGTCGACAAATGACCTCATATGAGTCGACTCATAACTGATGAGTCGACTGGTCAAAGACGTTTTGCTAGCAGGGCTTGGTTTCATGAGTCGACTCATGATAGGCATGAGTCGACTCAACCTGATGAGTCGACTCATGTACATGTATGAGTCGACTCACAGGCTGAAATCTGGATTCTTCGAATTGCTGCTCGTCGTCTCGTTCCACGCTTCCACCTGCGTTCCAATGTACTGTTTTACACCCCTATTCTCATGCTATCATGAGAATAATCTATCCTCAAGCTCCCATGAGGATCGCTAAGCTTCCGAAGAGAAAATACACCCGTATCACCTAAAGTTTTTAAAACTTGCACTTACATACTCTCAAAGTTATGCGCAAGTTTTAAAAACCCTAAGATATTTAAGTGCTAGTTCTAAAAACTTTAGTGTATTCCAGTGCCCCCAAAAAAACAAGAATATATAAGTGAAAATTTAGAAAACTTTAGAGTATTTTTTGCTATCAAATATAAAGTCAGGACATAACTAAAAAGTTGGGAAACAATAGGGCGTATAAATGCTATTTAGCCTAAACCAAAAGCAGCAAGAATCAAGCCAAAGTGGCCTTTGCCAAAAAAAAAGGACAACCAAACTCAAGCCACTAATTAAACCCTACCCACCTGATATATAATTGCCTAGATAGCACTTAAATACCTTATACTTTCACTCCTATAACATTTATATACCCTCGGTTATACTTTGTAGTATTTATATACTCTTAATTGGTAAAAATTAGCACTTTAATACCTTATATTTTGTAAATGTGAAAATTTTCATTCGAAAGTTCACGTATAAGATTCATATGTTAATTTTGAAGCTTTCTAGCCATCAATATTTATTAATTACTATTAAACCTATCCAAATTCTAATTTAAATACATCATAATTGTATTTTAAAAATGGAATTTTAAAACATTTAACAATGAATTCAATAAGCTTAATAGAGAAAAAACTATAGGAATAACATATAAATATTATATGAGAACTTTTTTTAAAAAGAATTGTGGTGTTAATATGAGAATTTTGACCAACCCAGAATATGTAAATGCTATGAAATAAAACTGAGAGTATATAAGTGCTAACAACATGAAACTATAAGGTATTTAAGAGCCATTTAGCCTATAAATTTAAAAAACAAATCTTTTTCTTATTCTGAGGAATCCAAGCTTCTATAAAATGCATCATCGTGTTCATTGAACTGTGTGCTCAAAGCATTTTCTCTCTCTTCTTTCTCTTTCTCTTTCTCTCTCTAGAAACAGAGGAGGAGGAAGAAAACGTATGGAGAACGCGAAGACGACGAAATTGATAAACCTTTTCTATTGTGAAGAGTCCGAGGAGCTCGCCCGCAAGGTCGCCGCTGAATCCGACGCCATTACTCTTCAGTCAATCTCTTGGAGGTCTTCCTTCTTTGCTTAAAAGAGCTCCTTCTTCAGTCTTAAAGTTTGGATTTTGAGTCGCTTTTGACTATAAAGTTTTGATTTTGGTCATGTTGACTGGAAAAGTATTGATTTTTTTTAGCTATATCAGTAGACCCATTCTAGAAATTGATCAAAATTTCACTATACTTTAAACAAGTAAAAGTAACAATAGTTTCTAATTGTTTTTTTACGGCTTTTTTTCCTTGAAATCAATATGGATGTTCTGAAAAAACCACCTTTGATTGTCAATTTATACATAGAATACCTTTAAGTGGATTTTTGTTGCAATCAACCACCTAGACACATTTTTTTAATAGTCACCTGGACACACTTTTAATTCCTGTTTTTATTGATTTTGATGTAATAATTAGTGTCAAAAACCAAGTCAATTACCAAAAGAATTAACTGAAAAGTGGGCCCAGCCGGTTGATTGCGACAAAAAAAAACCCTTTAAAAATAGTTTTATGTATACATTGACAATTAAAGGTGGTTTCTGTGGAATGATCCTATTTTAAAGGTGATTTCTAGGATAAAACCCTTATTATTATTATTGAAAGGTAGGGCTAAGAGTAAGAATCAAGTACATTATTTAGTTTAGTGAAAATTTTAATAGAAGACCTTAAGATTTTACAGCGCAACTACTATACAAACCTACTGTAACTCAGCTTAAGTATGAATCTCCATATTACTTGCAAAAATCAGACAGTAAAGGGAAAGACACGTCGTAGATGGTAGTTCATTTTCTCTCTTTTAAACAGAAACCGGTTTTGCGATGTCTTGAATCAGGATTTAGTCCTTTTGGTAAGCTCACAGATGGGTGACATGAAATTTAGTATAAGTACATTGAATATTTTGATCGTTGTATTTTTGTCCACTGTTGTTAAGAATGTTTGTTCTCAGGATAATTCAAAGTAAGTTGCATGGGTACTTCATTAAAGGGGATATATCCACAATCCTTATAAGTGGATACTTGGATATTTGATGGATACTTTTAAAAGTCTATACAATTTTTTTTAACTTATCACAGATAAATAAAAAATCATAAGTGATGTGTTTAAGACAGTTGAAAATCTAATGCATGGATTGTTTTTATCAGAACTTCAGTTGACTTGTAGATGCTTATCATGCTTTTATATTATTGTGTATTTTTGGACCGCTAACAGCTTAAAAGTCTATGCTGCCGATTCTCGTTTTACCGATGATGTACCATACCCTATATCTTTAGGGTATGCCGTATCTTATGGTAGCTGCCTACTTATACTGTATTGTATCAGACACCCCTGTCTGCAAGAGCAACCTTATTATTGACAGTTTGACACACATACTAATATGCTAATAGTTTCATTATTTGTTCGGGCACTAATTAGATGAATAGAAACAGTCACTCAATTATGTATTCTTATTGCTGTTCTGTAGTTCTTCATAAAAAAGATTCACTTACCATATTACCAATAAGATCTCTATTAAACCTGTAAGTTGGGAAAGTGTAATAATAAATAAAATATTCTAGAACTTTGAGAACTTCTGACCGTATAATTTTTGGTATGTGTTCTCAGGCACATACCACACAAATAGGGTAGGTGATAACATGTTTCATCCGCTAACATTGCTAATTTGCTTTCTATTTGGTTAAAAATCTGTTAGGATGTACATGTATCGATGTGCTTGCACACTGCGCCACACATGATGACAGTTCATAGATATTTCAGACGCGCACTCACAGAAGGAGATTGTTGCCATGTGTCTGCTTATAGACTTTCGGTGCACTTTTGTATAGATTAAATGACAAATTTTGTTGAAATAGACTGAAAGGGGTAAATTGGGTAGCGTGTAATGAAAACAATTTGATCAAGAGATACAAATGTCAGTTCTAAGAAATCCCTTACATCTTTACAAAACATTGATGCCCTATATACTTAAAGGCCCTTATGCTTGAAATTTTACTAATTATCTTGCATCTTGCTTATGTCAATTACATCATGAGTTCTGATGAAAATATTGAATGTGAAAGATGACACTTGCATAATAAACCTTTTAGATTAGATATACATTATTTTCTTTTTTATTTCCTTTTTTCATTGAGTGGAGCGGTTCTTTCATCATTTACCTTGGGGAAACTAATGCAACAATTTTTTGTTGACAGGAGCTTTGCAGATGGGTTTCCTAATCTTTTTATCAACAATGCCCAAGATATAAGGGGACAGCACGTCGCCTTTTTAGCCTCTTTCAGCTCTCCTGCAGTCATATTCGAGCAGATATCAGTAATATTTGCATTGCCGAAACTCTTCATAGCATCCTTCACATTAGTTTTGCCGTTCTTTCCAACCGGTTCTTTTGAACGAATGGAGGAAGAAGGAGATGTTGCAACTGCATTTACTATGGCGAGGATATTGTCGATGGTGCCCAAATCGAGAGGTGGTCCAACTAGTTTGGTCATATATGACATTCATGCTTTACAGGTTGGTTTGCTTCAGTAAGTCCGTGTTGAATTTTTTGCATTGTTTATTCTTTCTTGGCATACCATTTTTAAGGCTCACTAATTGCAGAGCTACCCCCAATCTTCAATTTTAGAATAATAGACCCCCAATAAACAAATCAACAACTTTGTTGGATATGATGAGTAAAAAGTTGAATATTTTGTTGATATTTTTACAGTGCAGATAAACATTAGTCTATTAAAGTGATGATTTGTTAATTTGTGGGGTATTTTTCTCCAAAGTTGACGACTTGGTGGGTAGTGTTGCAAACACACATGATTTTAGGGTATGTAAGCAAAAAAGCCCCTTTTCTTAAAGGATTCAATCCGTAATTCTTCCATCTAGTTATGTGTGCTTAACTATGACGGCTATACGTAGATTTTGTTGCTGATATTATTTACTATTAGTAGTTTGTCATCTTGGACGGCTTACTCATTTACTTCAGGATTTCTAATTTGGTTGATTTGATGTTATTGTAGATGCTGGGGATTTGTGCGATGCCCCCATCCTTTTTCCTAAAAAAGAATTTTTTTTGAAAAATATTATATCAAAGTGGCAGATGCTAAGCTGTCTGTCCGTTGAGTAGAAAATGATGTAATAACTTTTAGTTCTTTGAATTTCTGATGGTATTCCTGTCACAAGTTAGGAAACCATAGTTCACAGGTGTTCTGTGAAAATACGTGCTAACTTCCACTTATATGGAGCTAATAATAATAATAATTGAGGACAAGTGTAAATGAAATAGGATTTTGCTACTAACCCTTGGTTCATGATTGGGTCTCATAAAGGGCAACTGCTTTATATGGGACTCTTATTTAAAATAATATGTCAGAGACTTGAGAGTTTTCTTTTCTATAATAAAAGCTTAATCCTAAAACTTTCCACAACACAATCCGAAACCTTATCACTTTTACTATTTTGTATAGTTATCTTCTTTGTTATGTGTTGTACTTCCAATCCTAACAATATTTTTGTGATTTGCCCAGGAAAGATTTTACTTTGGGGATGATGTTTTGCCTTGCTTTGAAACCGGTATCCCTTTGTTGTTGCGGCGTCTTTGTCAACTTCCTGATGCCAATAATGTGTGTATACTCTTTAGTAGTTTTCTATCGCTGGAAGATTAGCATTTATCTGCTGTAATCTTGTAATCATACTTTGAATCTTTCTTCAGATAACTATAGCATTTCCAGATGATGGAGCATGGAAGCGGTTTCACAAGCAGTTGCAGCATTTTCCCATGGTTAGTTATAGAGTTTAGAAACACCGAATATATGTAGTTTTTTAGGTAAATTTCACATATCCCCCATTGTTTGGCTCATTTTGAGAAAATCCCGGTCTTTGGAAATGTTACTTAACCCCCACTAGAACATGTTGTCGCGCGCCTATGCGGAAGCGTGCTCGCTCACCAAACAAGTCGTAAGCACGGGAGAAGAATAACCAATCACACACGAGCACAATCCAAAACTGAAATAGGACAGATCAATCACAAACACAGAGGTATACGTGGTTCGACAATTTACTTACGTCCACAGGGAGAGGATGAGGAGATTCCACTAAATCAAGGAGAGTACAAATGGTTACAATCTCACAAAACTCACAAACTAACCCTCACCAAAGCTCTCAACTTGCTCACAATATCTCCCTCTCACAATGCTCAAAAAGTCTCTCTAATCTCTGATTATAACTGTCCTCTTTTTGATGATCCTAATCTCTTCTAAGGCGTTCTATATATATAGAAAACCTAAAACCAAAACAGACTAGGAATTCTATAATAAAAAACAAAACAAATTAGGAATCCTAATAACCTGTTATCAAAACAGATTAAGAATCATGTTACCAAAATAGATTAGGAATCCTAATAATCTGTTACCAAAATAGATTCGGAACCTGCTATCCAATAATTCTTCACATCGGCGAAGTATTCTCAAAACTGAGCCGACACCAACATGAGCACAAATGCGTCATCTCACCAAATTCGGCTACACCAATGTGGTTGTCTACGTATCCTCTCACAAGGGATCAAGTCACCCGTAGTTCATCCAAATGAACGTCAACGACCTCAACAATCACGAATGTGCAATAAGTTTTGACAATGATCAAACTTGTTGTTCGGAACCACCTTAGTGAGCATATCCGTTGGATTATCCTTTGTGTGGACCTTCACAATCTCTACATCGCCATCTTTAAGAACATTTCGAACGAAGTGATAACGAACGTCAATGTGCTTCCTCCTCGCATGAAAAGCTTGATTCTTCGTCAAATAGATAACACTCATACTATCACAATGAATAATAACAGACCGCTGTGATATACCAGTTCCTCCAAAAATTCTCGAAGTCAAATAGCCTCCTTCACAGCCTCTGTTATCATCATATACTCTGCCTCCGTCGTAGACAAAGCCACCGCAGACTGTAAGGTGCATCTCCAATACACTGACGTACGGGTCAAAGTGAACACATACCCCGTCGTAGATCGATGCTTATCCAAATCTTCGGTATAATCTGAATCAACATAACCAATACACAACTGCCCACCTGTAGTATTCCGCTCATAAACCAAACCAACATTGAGCGTACCTCGAATGTATCTCAAAATCCATCTCACGACGTCCTAATGACCCATTCCTGGATCGTGTATGTATCTTGAAACCATGCTCACCGCCTGTGATAAATCTGGCCTCATACATACCATCGCGTATATCAAGCTCCCAACCGCGCTCGCATATGGAGTCTTCGACATTAACTCTCGGTCTTCAACTGTCTTCGGTGAGAGGTCAGCTGAAAGCTTCAAATGAGCTTCCAAAGGTACACTAACTGGTTTCGTATTCACGCTAACATAAAATCACTGTAGAACCTTCTTCAAATAAGCCACCCGTGTCAAACAAATTATGTTATTCTCTTTGTCTCTATCAATTTTCATCCTCAAAATACGCTTAGCCTCACCCAAATTCTTCATCTCAAATTCCTTTGAAAGCTGTGCCTTCAACTCATCTATATAAGACCTGAAAATGGAGGCAATCAACAAGTCATCAACATAGAGCAACAAATAAATGTACGCACCTCCTTTCAACTTGCAAAAATACACGTAAGGATCAAACTGGCTCTAAGTGTACGAATGACCAAGCATAAAACCATCGAATCGTCTATCCCACTATCGAGGAGATTGTTTCAAACCGTATAGCGATTTCTTCAACCTGCAAATCAGGTTTTCCTTCCCTGCAGCTCGGAATCCCAATGGCTGAGTCATATATATTTCTTCATCAAGATCACCATGAAGAGATATTGTCTTCACATCCAACTGATCTAACTCTAATCCATATTGTGCCACCAAAGCTAGCAAAATCCGAATCGAAGAATGTTTCACCACCGGAGAGAAAACCTCATTATAATCAATATCTTCCTCCTGTACATAGCCCTTCGCAACCAATCTAGCCTTGAACCTCAATGGAGTGCCCTCAACGCCCTCCTTCTTCGTGTATACCCACTTGTAACCAATTACCTTCCGCCTTTTTGGAAGTTCAATAAGCTCCCATGTATCGTTCTTGTGAAGAGAGTTCATCTCCTCCTGCATAGCCACCTGCCACGAATCAGCCTCCGAACTTTGCTCGGCCTCTCTGAATGTAGTAGGCACCAACTCATCGATACTCTCCACCGGAAGTGCATATGTAACTATTGTGTCGGTATACCGTGCTGGCATCCATATGTCTCTCATCTGTCTCCGAACCGTAATAGAATCCTGAACCCGAGTCGCCGGTCACTGATCCTACACAACTGTACCCGTATCCTCCTCGTCGCTGTCGTGCTCGTCTAGCGTCACCTCAGTCGGCACTCTAATGAATACGGTACCATCTGGATAATGTGGAGCTGCATCGATCTTCATCACTTGCGATATTTCCTCCGTCGGGTCGCTTTCCATCTGATGAGAGCTAGGAAGCTTCAAGATAGAAGCCTCATCGAACGTGACGTTTCTACTCAACACAATCTTCCTATCAACTGGATCCCAAAGCTTGTATCCCTTAACACCGCGCTTGAATCCTACAAATATGGCCTTGCTAGCTCGAGGTTCTAACTTATCAGTCTTCACATGATAGTATGCATGACACCCAAATACCTTGAGCTGATCATAATCGTGTGCTAACTCTCCCAACCACATTTCCACGGGGGTCTTCCCCTCAATCGCAGATGAATGCATCATGTTAATGAGGTGGCTCGCATATGAAAATACCTCAACCCAAAAGATCTTCTCCAAACCACTATGCACCAACAAACATCGTATCTTCTCCGACAAAGACCGATTTAACCTCTCTGTCACCCTATTCTGCTGCGGTATATGACTAACTGTGAAGTGTCTCTCTATGCCCTCGTCTCGACATAGCTGTTGAAAGGGGTCTGATATGTACTCATCACCGTTGTCGGATTGTAACGTCTTGATCTTTCTCACAGTCTGTAGTTTCAATCTCTTCTTCCACTCCACAAATATAATTAGGACTTCACTCTTCTTCGCCATGGTGTACACCCAACAACACCTAGAATAATCATCAACAAACGTGACAAACCAATGTCTACCACCAAGTGATGCAGTTTTGGTGGGACCCCAAACATCTGTGTGCACATAATCCATGATGTCCCTCGTCCTATGAATAGTTGTCCCGAACTTCACCTTTGTCTTCTTGTCAAGAACACAGTGCTCACAGAACTCAACTTTTCCACTCTTTGCTCCTTGCACAGCACCTGCAGTGACTTCTCTCCTGTGTGTTCCAATTTGTAATGCCAAAGTCTGCTAATGTTCGCCTCTGAAATAGGTGAAGCAACCTGGCCAATCATTGTTCTCCCCTTCAGATAATACAACTTTCGACTACGGACTCCCTTCATCACCACCAAAAATCCATTAGTAACCTTTGCTACAGCATCCTCAAAGATCACCTTGAATCCTTTCGCCTCTAAAGCTCCAATTGAGATAAGATTCTTCTTCAACTAAGGAACAAATCTCATCTTCTTTAATTCACGGACTACTCCATCGTGCATCCGAATCCTCACAGTACTTATCCCACAAATATCACAGGATTGATCATTTCTCATGACAACAACACCCCCATCGAGTCTCTCAAATGATGAAAACCAATCTCGCCTAGAAGTCACATGATAAGTAGCGTCAGAATCAAGCATCCAATCTGATGCATCCAAGTGGGTCACCTCTGGAGTAATCAATAGAGAAAAGCTCGAATCATCGTAATCATCGCTTTTCGCAACATTCACCTCATTGGCCTTCGGGTCATTCTTCTTGCTATTCTCCTTCTCCTTGATCTTTGGACAATCTTTCTTCCAATATCACTGCTCCTTACAGAATGCACATTAGTTCTTTCCTAGCTGGTGACGACCTCTTAACTTTGACCTTCCTCTATTACCATCTTTTGGATATGAGCTTCTACCTCTCGTCGACAAGGCCTCTCCTGAAGTACTAGCGCAGGAAGTCTCTTTGTCCTTCCTCTTCAAATCATAGTTTGTCAAAGCATTAGTAACTTCACTATAGCTGATAGAAGACCTCTCATTCAACAAAGTGAGCACAAATGTATCATACTTCTCATCTGGTAAGGGGCCCAACAAAATAATCGTCTTGTACTCATCCGATATCTTCTCATCAACATTCGCCAAGTCCGGTAACAACTTAGTGTAGTTGTTCACATGAGCCGCTAATGAGGTGTCTCGGGACATCTGAAATCTGAACAATCTTTGCAGCAAGTGCAAACAGTTCTCAACACTCTTCGTAAGATGCTTATTGTTAAGAATCTCCCACATCTTCATTGCAGACGTCACCCCAATCACATCATACTTCAGCTCCTGTTCCAAACAGGACCTGATCACCCCACAAACGTTTCTATTTATTTTTTCCCATATCGCCTCCTCGTATTTTGGTGGCCTCTCATGGACCATGATGGTCTCTTTCTAATTTTGAGTATTGAGAGCGTCCTGTACGTCGTTCATCTACAAATCAAAATTGATTTTGCCGTCATATTTAACCACACTAATTTTAGTGTTCTGAAAACCAATTTGAATTGTATCCGTCATCTTGCTGCTTTCACCAACTTCTTCACCCATACTCGCAAACTCCAAATTGTAAAGAAAAATTCAAACTTTGAAAGAAATAAGAAATTACTCAAGTGAACCCTAGATTGGATTCCAAATAGAACTCCTAACCACACGAGGAAAGCGAGATCTTCAACGATAACTTCAAATCCTATCTCCACCGAAGCCTAGAACTCCAAGAACCAAGCTTTCACAACGAATCTTCCTCCACCTAATGTCAAAATCCTAAATCTGAAATCTGAGCTCTGATACAAATTGCCACGCGTCTATGCGGAAGCGTGCTCGCTCACCAAACAAGTCGTAAGCACGTGAGAAGAATAACCAATCACACACAAGCACAATCCAAAACTAAAATACGACAGATCAATCATAAACACAAAGATATATGTGGTTCGGTAATTTGCCTAAGTCCACGAGGAGAGGATGAGGAGATTCCACTAAATCAAGGAGAGTACAAAGGGTTACAATCTCACAAAACTCACAAACTAACCCTCACTAAAGCTCTCAACTTGCTTACAATATCTCCCTCTCACAATGCTCAAAAAGTTTCTCTAATCTCTCATTACCACATTGAATCAAACCCCCCCCCCCCCTCTCTATTCCCAAACAAAAAAACACCAAAAAGCGCGCACACACACACCTTCTAGCATTTAGACATTATTTTATTTTAAAAAACCCCCATAAACTTTCGATATTATTTTCAGGAAACCCCCATAACTTTTGGTGAAGTTTAAGAAAAAAACCCCATTAAGCCGTGAGGGGGTTTATTGAAAATTGCAAACATTTGGTTGGTTTTGTGACTCACCCAAAACTTTTTCTTTTGGCGGCAGGTTTAAGTTACATTTTTTAAGTTAAGAGGGTTATATCATAATGGGGCATAATGTAGGGGGCTATGTGAAATTTAGCAGTTTTAAGTTTTAACTATGCATTTATTTTTATTTTTTCAGATATCTAGATAATGCAGATTAAGCTTACAAATTACACATATTTCAACTGTCAGGTAGTGTGTGCAAAGGTGCGGGAAGGCGATAAGAGGATAGTGCGACTAAAGGAGGGGAATCCTGAAGGTCAGCATGTTGTCATTGTCGACGATTTGGTTCAATCTGGAAGCACACTTATCGAGTGTAAGGTAAGCAAAACACTACTAAGGCTTGAAAATCTCTGGTTCATAATTGAGTTTGACCTTGGATGATATGCTATTCTGAGATATCATCTTTGCTATTCTAGGCAGATTTATGGTCTTTGCAGTTTTCGATGTGATGTTAGCTGTTCTTCCGGAAAAATTATATTAAAAAACACGTAAAGATTTTTAGTCTGTGATTTCATTGATCTTGGGTTGTTTGGCCTTTCTGTACATAATAATGTATTTAATTTTATTTCTTTTGGGTTATTTGTGCTTGAATACCCTGAAGTTTACCTAATTTTGATATCCTAAAGTTTTTTTTCCCAAAAGTCGAAACAATATAACTTTCATACCCTTAGAATGACTTAACAAGAGGTATCGTTTTGTGCGTGTGTGTGTGTGGAACATTAGGGCATTTTTTGGGCAAATATCACAGCATAATGTAGTGTAAACTTTTGGGGGTGTTTAAAGTGCGAATAACCCTTTCTAACTAAATCTTCCTTCTATCACTGCAATCTAAGAACTGATTCTATTCCTCAGAAACTTTTGGCTGCTCACGGTGCTTCCAAAGTCAGCGCCTATGTGACTCATGGCGTGT